TCTCTCTCTCTCTCTCTCTCTCTCTCTCTCAAAAATTGAATTACAATATGAAAATAATATACCAAGGTGTTCCCAATCTAATCATATCTTCATACTGTCTAACATGCATTGTTAGTAAATTATAAACAATTTGTAAAGTATTGTAATAATTTATTATTAATTATTATTTAGTTTTAAATTAGTTTTAACAATGTTTAAAATGTAGCTCTTATTCTACTCATTGATCTCTTATGCCTTCATATCGTGAATGGTTTTGATCTCCTCTTTGGTAAGAGTGAAGTCAAAGATCTCGAAGTCTTCTTTGATATACTTCTTGTTGACACTCTTCGGAATTGTGATCCAATGGTTCTCAATCTGCCAGCGGAGGGCCACCTGAGCCGCGGACTTGTTATGCTTCTTACCGATGGCCACAAGAGTGGGATTCTTAATCATCTTTCCGGTGCCGAGCGGTGAATACCCGGTGACAGCGATACCCAACTCCTGGCAGTACTTAACAGTGTCGGCGTCGTTATGCGTGGGATGAATGCGGATCTGATTGACGGCGGGCTTCACTTTGGCCGTCTTCAGCAGGTGATCGATGTGTCCTCTATTGAAGTTTGATATACCGATAGAGCGGACCAACTTCTGGTGGAAGGCGTCCTCCATTCCCTTATAAGTGTCCGCGTAATCGTCTCGCGGGAAATGTATGAGAACTAAGTCCAAGTAAGTGACGTTCAACTGTTTCAGCGAGTGGTGAATCATCTCCAGAGCCTTCTTCTGATTGCTGCCGTTTGGCCACACTTTTGTGGTGATGAACAGGTCCTCGCGTTTGAGTACACCGGCGCCGATCTGGGCGTGAATACCCTCTCCGACCTCTTTCTCGTTCTCGTAGATGTAAGCCGTGTCGATGTGTCGGTAGCCAACCTCCAGAGCGTCCTTCACGGCCTGTTTCACGGGATCTCCCTTTGCCTGCCACGTGCCCAGACCTATCTCTGGCATCTCGTACCCGGTGTTCAGTTTGATCATCGGTGCTGTTGTGGATTAAATGATGTAAATTAATATTAATTTAAATAATAGTTCATTGGTTTTACTTTTAGCCGAGACGACAGCCAGAGTCAGCGCTAATATCACTACCACTTTCATCGTGTATCAGGAATTGTATGGCTTTTCACTGTTTCAATGAATGACAACTGATTTGTCAATTGTTGTGTCGCTTTATATATATAGTAAATAGTTGTCCGGAATTCTCCTTTAATAGTAAATTAATAGAAATTGTGTTGATTTTGTCAGTAATACCACATTTGCACACTTGTTGTCAATGATTTTTACTCTGATTTTTATCAATTAACTAATTATTAATAAAATATTGACGTTATTGTAATTTATTTGCAAGTTGCTTTTTTAGCCCATTGATAATTTGCACGTTTGGTGCATCGGTTTAATCTAATCGCAAAGAATTACCTTTTTGTAAACAATTCCTTAATACTAATTGTTATATTATTTGTTAGTCTAAAGTCTGTTAAGTCCGCCGTTTTTGATATTCATTATATCATTTTCACTAAAATACTATCAATTCATTAAATCTAACAAACAATGTGTTTAAATAGCGAAATGCATGAATCAATATTTAACAGTTATTTCAGTTTTACTTACATTAGTGTTATAAATGTGATTATATTTAATTATTTGTTAATTATGTAATATTCTGGAAAAAAATCATTTTACAAATATTAGTTCTCAAACTAATTATATAAGTTGACGTAAATATAAATGTAAGAATTTAAAAAATAAGCCTAATAAATTAAAAATACAATAATTGTTAATCAGTAAACTCAATATTCTAATAATCACTATAAATTAAACTTTGTCTTCTAATTAACCTTTTGGTTATTGATTGAGAGCCATATCGACGACAATAGACGTGTATATCATATCTAATTTCAGGATTAATAGAGAAATTGTTTTTTTGTGCAAAACTATTA